GTGATTTGGTGATGGGAAACCCGCGGGGATTACAATCGAGATGGGAAAAAAATGTGCAAAATGATGTAAAAATAAACTTTGTAATAAAAAAAATAGTTATAGTTTTATTATTTAAGTGATGCAAATTTATTGTAAAAAGTCTCTAAAAACTGAAGAAGAAAATCAGTTGTGATCTTTCACCCAGAAGATATTTTAGTATATTCACCTGACGCTCCCCACTTCTACATATGTGTATAAAGTATATTTATATACCTTAAATATTTCATATGTACTCATGTAGACGTGGAACAAAAATAGCATCATTCTCATTTACTATTCAGTTGCTAGCTTTCCACATTCAACAATATGCAATGCATATTTTCCATATGAGAAAAAAGTCAGGATTTTAAATAGCCATGTAATATTTCATTTAAAGCTGGTCCTTATTTATTTAATTTCTTGTTAGACTTTTAGGTTGTTTATATATTTTCAATGTCTCAAGGTACATATTCATATTTCTTTGGACATTTATAACATTTATATCATATACTTAGGCTAAATTCCTAGCAATGGAATTTCTTGGGCAGAGTATATAAATATTTTTAAAAGTTTTGATACATATAGCCAAATTGTTCTCTAAAGTGTATATATGAATTTATGCTCTCAACAGTTGCAGTTGAAGGTACCCTTTACTCCATATCTTTCCAACCTTATAAATGATCAATTTTTTATTCCTTATTGATATGATTGGCCAACATCATGATATTTTTAAATTGTTGCTAATGTACATTTCTTTAATTTGGAACAAGTGAACTTTTAAACATATGCTTATTGCTTCTTTTACAAATTTCCTGTTCATGTCTTTTGTCTACTTTAAAAAATGTAGTTTAGGCCCTCCCTGGTGGCGCAGCGGGTTAAAGCACAGCACTGAGAATCTAATAGCCACTTCCGCATGAGTTCGATTCCCGCCTGCCCCGGAGGTGACCACATGGCGTGGCAGACCTCTCCTGGCCCGCCTGCTGCTCCCCTCAGCAGTGTACTTCGTCGATCTGCCTGTTCTGCTCCCCACTCTGTCTCTGGTGAAGCCTCTCACTGCCCCTGAGCCTCTGGCCTGTACCCCAGTTCTGTGTGTACAAATAAATCAATCTTTAAAAAAAAAAATGTAGTTTAGTCTTACTGATTTTTAAGTGAACTTTACATATTAAGGAGATCTAGCCTATGTCACTACTACTTAGTCTCATTTGGCTCTTTGATTTCCTCTATAGGTTTGGGACCTGCCTACTTACTGGAGAGAACATCATATCATCTCCCTGGGGCGCATTGCTCTGGCTCTTAATGAGAGTGAGTTGGACCAGCTGGATCTCAGCTCCATTGATACTGTGGCTTCCCTAAGCCAGCAAACAGAATGGACCTCAGAACAGGTTGGTTGTTGTTGCTGAGCTTTTAAGTAGCCCAGTTCTGTTTCAATTTTGAACATATTTATGGTAGTTATAATAGCTGTTTTAAAATCCTTATACTAATTCCATCATTACTTTGATTTCTGAATCTGTTTTCACTGACTGTTTTATTATTAGTTACAAGTGTTATTTTCTTCCTATTTACAAGCCTGACTGATGGGCATTGTGAATTTTACATTGTTGAGTGCTTGATTTAGTTGTACTCCTTAGAAGAATACTGAGTGTTCTGACTACATTTAAATTACTTTCAAATTAATTTGATACTTCTGAAGCTTCTATTTGAATTTGATTAGCATGAGTCCAGAGTGACCTTTAATATGTGGTTAACTTTCCCTGTTGCTGTGACATGACTCTTCTGAGGATTCTACCTAGTGCTCTGTATTTCAAGACTTCTGCCTTGTGTCTGTTGGAAAGTTAAACTCTTTCTGACTCCATTTGAGTTCTGTTTAACCTACTGATTTTTGATGACTCTGATATTTATGTGGAATTTCACTGTTTGCATGTATAGAGCAGTAATCAGCCAAAGACTGGCAAGACCTCACTGGATTTCTGCAACTTTCTCTCCTTTCAGTTTTGTCCTCTCCTATACATTATCCCCCAACCTTACAACTCATCATAGGTGCCCTGACTTCTCTGAATGTGGACCTCTCTATCCTTAACTGAGCTAGATGCTGGGCTTGTTTGGGCTTCCTACTCCATGACCTGCCCACTGTCTCTGGGAAGAAAGCAAGGCAGTGTTAGGACTCACTTTATGAGCTTTCTTTGTTTCAGGATTAAAGACCTCTTCTCCCTGTCTGAATACAGTAGTTTCACATACTGAGTTTAGTTTTCTCATTGCTTATGGTGGGAGGCAATTCTTGTGACAGTTAAAAAAATTCTAAAGAAAAACTTACAATTTAAAGAAAGTTCTTTCTAGAATTTATTTTGATTGGGAGAGAAGTTAACTTATTGTACAGTTATGTGTTGCTTAATGACCTTTTGGTCAGCAGCAGACCACATGTATGACTGTGGTCCCAACAAGGAGGTGCTGTAGAGCCTGATATGTAGTAATTGACACCACCTAGGTTTGCATAATTACAGTCCATGACATTTATGAAATGACAAAATCTCCTAAGGATGGATATCTCAGAAGATCACCCCATTACGAAGCAATTCCTGATTGTATTCTCAGGCATCTCTCTCTCAATGGTCATTTTCAGCACTAGGCTTATATATTATCTAATCAGAAACCTCATACAAAGGGTTTCGCATTAACTTTTGAAAAAGTCCCAGCACTGACCCAAACAAGCATTTGTCCACTTCTGAATAATCACCCTGGTTGGAGCAAATGTGTTGTCTGGGCAGGCAAGCGCCAGGCAGTGGAGTCCCTCTACTGACCACATGAGCTAAGAGTGGGAACAGTCATGGGGTGGACTGTATAAAGACTCCCGAGCAAAATGTTGACATCTTAATCTCTTGAATCTGGGATTATATTACTTTTCATAGCAAAAGGGACTTTGCAGATAAGATTGAGGATCTTGAGGAGGGGAGGTGATGCTGGTGGACCCAGTGAAACCACAGGGGTCCTTATACGAGGGAGGCAGGGGGGTTTCAGATACAAAAGGTGATGTGACAATGCAAGTAGAGGGGCAGAGAGAGATTCCAAGGTGCTGTGCTATGGGTTTGGAAGATGGAGGATGGGGCTGTGAGCCACAGAATGTAGGCAGCTTCCAGAAGCTGGCAAAGGCAAGGTAATGAATTCTTTATAGACCCATTTTGCCAAGAAACACATCCTATTCATCTGTTTCAGAATGTATGACCCCCTAGAACTGTAAAACAATACATTTGTGTTGTTGCAAGCCACAGTGAGTGTGTTAATTTGTGGTAGCCATAAGAGGATATGAATACAGGGTGTTTGCCAAAGGAAAAGCATGGTGGTATCAAGCAAAGGGAGAAGGATGCTGGGCAGGCTAACATCAGGTGATGTTCCCTACTATCATGAGTTTTTTTGGTAATCAGAATTGCCTTGTCACACAAATCTGGGTGACACCTAATAGATCACAGTGTGAAATTTGTCCCTGTGGAGTTGGGCAACTTGTAGGTCCTGGCCATGAGGATTAGATAAGTTTTTACTTGTAAAACCTTTTGGGCATGGTTCATACCAATACAGTTTTATTGGTATGAATTATTGCTCCTTTCATCATCATTGCTGTAGTCATCATCTTTGTCATGCTACCACTACCACCACCACCACCACCATCACCACCACACCACCACTACCACGACTATCATCATCATCACCACCACCATCACCACCACGACTATCATCACCATCACCACCATCACCATGACTATCATCACCATCACCACCACCACCATGACTGTCATCACCGTTACCAGCACCATCACCACCACTACCATGACTATCATCACCATCACCACCATCACCACCACCATTACCACCATGACTATCATCACCATCACCACCACCATCATTATACTCCTTTTCTTTGGGAATTTAACAGTTTCTCATTTGCAGGATGAGAGGTTATACCTAGCAACATGAATATCCTTCCACTGTAACATTCTGTAATCCCACGGTTCTGTGATTCTAAAATGGTTTTGACTGGTTTGAGAAGTACAATGTCAACCTCCCAATATTAACAACATGCTATCCATAGTCTGGAAGAAAACAGAAAACTGTAACCAACTTAGAAGCGAGAGTATCTTTTTCCCTTTACACCAATTTTAATTCCCATGGATGGCAGTGAGATTTATCAGTATGTTTGAAGAGGATATGAAAACCTAACATTTGCATATATCGTTTGCAGTCAGTTCCTCAACTTTAGCTCCCAATCAAAGCCTTAAATGCATGTTTCTAGATTAATGTCATACCTGGAAGAACTACATTAACAGATAGTTCAGCTTAAAAACCTATATAAGGTAGGGAAAACTATTATTGAAGCTAGAGGGGTGCACAGAGAGATTGAAATCTTACAGCTATTCATTTCTTTCAGAGGTTAATATTGCCTAAAAGTGTTGGTATTAATTGTCTCGGAATCATTACATATACACTGTCCAGACATTCAGGGAAATGTATCTAGTCTTATCACTTTGCAGGCTGAGCTTGCATTTTCCATGTTCCAGTAGCAAGGGCAATTTAATACCGCATCTTCCAAGTAATTCTATTTGAATTGTATTTTGCACTTTCATTTAAAAATGGGCATGTTTGATAGTTGGGGAGCACACATTGCTATGAGTGAACTACTGGAATCTGACTAGGAAAACATAAGCAGAAAAGTTCAGAAGCTAACTTGAATCTCCATCTTTTCTTCATATCCAGATGTCTTCATTGGCTAAAAGTAGCAGTTCTGCAGTCAGAGTGTCTGGATTTTAAGCTAAAGCTATTGGACTATATAGCTGGGTAACTTTGGCAGAGTTACTTTACCTCTCTGGGCTCAGTTTCCTCATATGTAAAATAGGAATAATATTAATGCTTATTTCGTAGGGTTGTGAGAATGAGAAGGAATGGTATGTATTGAGTGGTAGAAACAGTGCTGGCACATAATAGGTGTTCAGCAAATATGAAGTATTATTACTTTGGATGCACACTCCTATTTGGTCAAAGATGTTGAAGTCTAAATGTGGTGTTATTGAACTTATCCATTGTGTTTGTGAGCTTTGTCATCATTGAGAGCAACTCATGAAGACACTGGCCAGCTGATTGCAGAAGCCTGGGATATCTCCCTGAAACTAATTCATTGTATGAAGGCCACCATGTGTTTAAAGCCACTGAATGCGTGGTAATCTGTTGTGGCAGTGCAAAGAAAAGAATAAAGGTGGTTTGCCAAAGGGAAAACCCAAGGCAGCAAACTGTTGCCACTTCTGTAGATCACTCACTCAGTTTGTTTGTTCATTCGTTCATTCATTTATTTATTCATTCATTCAAAAAGTACCTCTTGAACCCTGACTGTGCATCAGGCCTTGTGCTGGGTATTCGGCAGTGAACTAACCGGAGACAGACCTTCCCTTTGGGGATTCTACTTGGTAAAAGAGACAGAAAAGTGAGTGATCAAAGTGCACATTTAGAAAATTGCTGTAAGTGAAAACAGACAAGATGCTCACAGAGCTAGTGGGCAAGGAGGTGACTTGAGATGAGGGACCCCAGGAAGCTTAGAGGTGGGAACATTGATCAGACCTGAGGGATGGGAAGGCAGCAAGCACGTGAGATGTAGAACCCGGTCACAGCACTTTGCAGCTGTTACCAGCACTTTTTCCTCAACCCTGCGTGATCCACAAGGAGTGATAGGCCAGAGTTAAAGGGCGGTGGGGAGGTTCACTGGTTCCTGTGACTCTCCCACCCAGGAGATGTTGGTCCTTAGGAGTCTCTTCTCCGTCTTTGCTCTGTGAGCTCTTGTCCTCTTCTAGCTTCTCGTACCTGCCCTGTGACTGCTGAGAGCTGTACTTTCCTGCAGCTCATCTTTAAGGGATTGACATGGCTTCTTCCCTCAGGTCCAGCATAGACAGATCTAAGCAGTTAGGGCTTATTTAGTTGCAAGTATCAGAAAGCCCAGCTCAAACTGACTTTGTGTTGACTTGTCCAGAGCAGGCCATTTCCATATGGTAAATTCTCTTAGATTCAAGAGTTTATCTTCCAAGTTTCAGTCCGAAATGAAGAAAGATCTTCTCTACTAAATGTTTCAGCCAAAGTCCATGCTTGGTTTGGACTGGATCAGATGCTTAAAGCAAGAAGCAATCACTGAAGACTAAGAGATGATTTGATTGCTTAGTTCCTTCCCTTGAGCTCAGATTGCAGGTAGTTCCAAGAGCCCCATGAAGGAAGAATGTGGGAGGGATGGCTCTCCAGGAAAGCCAGGAGTGGCACTGAGTTGGGATTAAAGGGACCTTCTGTACCAACCTCCTGAAGTAAGAACTCAGTGAAGAGATCCTTGTGGCTTTCAACACCAAGATATTTTATGAACACTCTGCAATTGAAAAGTGGGGCATACGTACTTCTGTAGGAGCTGCTATATCTATAGATCTGTCAAGAAAGAAAAAGTCATTTTGACTGAAACAGGACTTCATGAGGAAGATGACATTTGACCTGAATGCCACCAATAAAAGGTGGGCTCTATTATAACTGTTGGGGAGGCAGGAAGACCATTTCAGATGGAAGGACCGATTTGAGCAAAGACAAAAAGGCAGAAAATTACAAGGTTTTTGTCAGCTCAGGGAGTTGTGGGAGCAGAAGCTGGAAGAGTTTGGATGCAGAACTTCAGTGCCCAAAGGCCGAAGGTCATGTGTAACTGAAGGAAACAAACCAGCAGACACGACATAGGGCTTACACTCCTTTAATGTAGATGTGGTGGGCACAAGAGCTTCCATTGCCTGAAGACACCTCCAAAGATCAGGGGACATACTCACTGCAAGCACAGCCAGGCCAGCCTGGGCGCTGTGGCTGGGGAGGTTTGGAATGCGGGGTGCGTGCAGGGAAGCGGCCCAGACATCAGTCAGGCTGTTGCAATAGCTCAGTTATCCTCTTGGGTCTTCATCATGCCTGCATAGTTCAACCTCCTACCCTTCCCTGTTCTTTACAGTCGAAGTCTATTCTGCGAGGGTTCCTGGAGGATTCAGGCTACAGTATCCAGGACTTGAAGAGCTTTCACTTAGTAGGACTTGGTGCACTCCTGTGTGCTATGAACATCACTGAAATCTCATTGATAAGGATCTCAGAATTCAGGTAACCAAAACACCAGTGTGCCGATGCTTGAGGGATTCTGATTATTTTATGAGCATGCTGTATCCGTCTCTTTTCACCAGGGTGGTGGTGGCCAGAATTGGCGCCCTGCTCTGCAGCCCCGGTGTCTTGGCTGAGTTTAAGAGGAAGGCGCAAGTCGTGTTTGGAGATCCCACTGAGTGGTCTGGCTCTGTCCTGCAGGAACTTGGGACCATCGCAGGTAACATGCTTTTTTTCTGCCTTTCCAACCTTAAATATGGAGACAAAACAAAAAAACAAAAGAACTCTTATTACATGAACACCTATAGTTACGGCAGATTCTAGACTGCATGACTTAAAGTTGCAGGAGGTGGGGTCTTTGAATCTGCTTTTAAATACGCTCGCTTGGTGGTTCTTGTGCACACTAACGTGGTTGAGGGTGTGATTGAATTGACTCCTAAACAGGTTTATACACAGTCTGACATTGCATAAAGTGAAGCTCCTTCTGGGTATACATTTCGGTGTGGGAGACCAATCAGGACTAATGTGACCCACATTTTATTTTTCTGAGTTGATTAAGCAACTTGATTCTCCAGTTTGATTTTCAGGGCCTTTTGTAAGGAATGATGTTTGCCTAGAACACACAGATCTGTACATTATGCAACACCATTAATAAAACAAGCAGAATTCTGAAGACTTGAACTAAACCCTTGTGATTCCTTTTTCTCCCCAGCTGGATTAACTAAGGAAGAGCTCCGAATACTCGACAAGGATTTGATGCCATTTTTCCAGCCATCAGCAATCAAATGCCTTCCTGATGAGATATTCAAAGTAGGTACTCAGTTCCTCAAGGAGAATGGGAGCTTGACCCCATTTCAGATCACACAGGGAAGCAGATGGCAGGCCCAGCATTCCAGAGGCTTGCAACCAGGCTTCTGCTGACAGGGCTAAAGAGAGCTGTGCTCGGCAGTGGATGGGTTGCAAGATAATTGTAGCTTAAAATTTTTTTTCTTCAATTTAAATTTATATTTTTGTTATATTTATTTTTATGGTTGGCTTCTCTTCATAACAAGTGGTATTGATTTTCTATTTAAGATGTTATGACAGGATTATATTCTATCCAAAACATTTTGGGCTAGATATATTCAGAAATTTATAAAATTTCCAGATTTTATAAAGATCACTTGGTAGATCTACAGTATGTAACTAACAGCCCCAGCAGTGACCTTGTAAGCAAACACAATATTTCTGTGAGGGTGTGTGACAAATCACGGTAATTGGAATGAATAGAGACTATAAATGGTGTCACATCAGTTCAGATCAGGTTTTTCTGGCAAATAAATTTGCCTTAAACTTTGGAGTAGAAAGTCTTTGGGTTTTTAGACTTTTTGGGGGGGTGATTTTAGAGTTGTAAACCTACATACATTTTCATCCAAAATACATGTAAGTGAAAATATTCTAGTTGATTAACAAAAAAGCATCAAGAGAACTACATTAGGACAGGTGATAAACTGGAAAAAATTGAGATGGTGCAGTTGGTAAGCAGGGTTTCCTGTGAGGTTCTTGTTTGCTGTCTGTGTACAAGATTAGGAGAAGTTCAGTGGCAACAGTCTTTCTTTAATGAGGGATCAGCCTGATTTTTTTTTTTGCTTCCCATATAACTTGGGAACATGTTCTGTCTACCACAAATGGGTAAGATACACAATTAAGGTTGGGCAAACTCCCATGATGCCACCTTATTGATTCCTTTTCAGAGTGATAGACTTTGAAGCACTTCAGCACCAAGGACAGTTCCCAGCCCAGCACTGGTGCACAATCTGCTTTGGAAGACAGTCTTTAAGACTATTAGCTTCCCCTCTGGGGTGCAATACATGGGATAGGCAACTTCTCCTGGATGCTTTTCTTTTGCTGAACACCTTATAGTATTGTTTGGAGTGCAGTTTAGGGCTGCTTCCTTGTTCAAGTGTTTATTCCAGAAATTTTCATTGACCACCTAGATTGTGGTTGGCTCCAGGTTATCTGTACCTGGGATGAGCAGAGAAGGGGTTGAGCGTTGTGTCTTCAGGAGCTTGGAAGCTAACATAAAGCAGTGAGGTGGGCTGGGTAGAGACCAAGCTAAATTGCTTAAGTAGGGAGGCTTCTTCTCATCTCTGGCACATTAGTGCCGTGTGACAATGTGGGGCCAGTATTGCCAGAGCTGCTTCTTCTTCTTCTTTCCTTTTGTTAAAGAAGCAGGCAGAATTCCCCATTTCCATGAGAAATCTCTTGATAATTAAATGTCGACAAGCACTTTGAAGCTATGTTTTGAAACCCAGTGCAGTAGGCCTAGAGATTCAATTTGGCCTGTGGGTTGCAAGTCAACAGTATTGGAAAACTAGGTAATTGCTATAATACAGGCTCTCTGTTAACAGTGGATGTAAAGTCTGGGCATGAAACAACAGCCAAACCCTGTGTGTGTGTGTGTGTGTGCACGTGTGTATGTGGTGAGAGGGAGGAGATGATGCTAAACCTGGAGGGACTGGTTAACTAGGTGGAGAAGGGGGGGGACAGCTGCCTGAGGGAAGGTGTGCTTGGTAAAGGTGCTGCCCCCTGGGACTGCATGGGGGATGCTCTTTCTCCTGGAATGAAGCATGCCCCGGAGGTGGGGGTGGAGAAGACGAGGACCTGGAACTTGCAGGCCTCGTTGTCACATTTGGGGCTTGATCTGTGCCCTGGGGAGGATGCAAGGGAGGTGTAAGCAAGGGAATGTCATGATCCCAGGGAGCATGTCCCTGAACAGCAGAGAGCAGGAAGGGCTAAGGGAACATAACCCCATGTTTGCAGAATCCTGCAGAAAATAATAAGCAGGACGACTTCAGAGGATATTCTACAAATGCAGAATTCTGCTGGCTCATCTCACTCCAGACCCAAGTGACTTCAGAAAACATCCTGCTGAGGGTCCTCAAAGGCATAGTGTGTGCGAGAGGATTTCCTGTACCCAGAGCTGATGGCAGACAGACTAGGGGATTTGGCTTTCCGGGGTGGTCACACTGGGATCAGAGTCTGTATAGGAGATGAATTCTCCACCTGTTTTTCTCCTCCACATCTGTGTTTCCTCACAGGGAGGTGCCTTGCATTTCATTAAACGTTAAGCTACACAGTGAGAAAATCATGACTTCAAGTCTCCTTTAATGTGTCCGATTATTCTAAAGAGAAAGTCTGAGTTTGGAACTGAAATGTCTTTGACACTTTCTGTAACACTTTCAAAATCCTTTCTCTAAGAGCCCTCAGATTCAGACACTTGACAAATCTTTCTGGAATTCATTAATACTGTTTTATTTCTTTTGGATTATTTTAAATGATTACTAATGGCAAGTTGTTCTGGTTTTCCATGTTTGGAAGTTTCTGCTAAAATTTGCTTTGGTAGTGGAAGAGTGATCTAATTTAGGGAAAAACTCTTAAACTGAGCACAGATCGTTCATAGGTAGTGTCAACGTTGTGCAGGGCTCTGAAGGACGAACCAGGTTTGCCAGGTTCGAGGAGGCTGGAGGGGGGCGCCCCTGACCTCTCTGCCCCCCACCCCCCGCCCCAACCCCCTGCAGGAGCTGTCCGCGGGGCAGATCGCGTCCTTGGGCCCGGAGAACGCTGCTGCCGTGACCCCCGCCCAGCGCCGGCAGCTCAGTGTGTTGCAGCTGCAGAGCCTCCAATGGGCGCTAGATGGCGCCAAGACTCGCTCCTGGCTGGACGCGCCCCAGAGCGCCAGCCCCACCCGGACGCCCTCTTCGCGTTCAACTCTAGGTGAGTGGGACAGCCCTGCCCTGTACCCCACCCCTGTGCCGAGCCTGGGGTGGGGAGGTACCTACGATTCATGGTGGAGCCTGACGGTCATTGGGAGATTCTCAGAAAAAAGTCCACACCCCACCTCCCACCAAACATTTATAAATGATTCTCAACTCTTGCTGGGCTTTGACGTCCCCTGGGAGAGTTTCTAAGTCTTCAGCTAGGCAGACCCCACCCAGAACCCACTGCGTCGGAATTTCTCAGGACGGAATCCATTTCAATGGTTCCTCTGCATCCTCCCCCTTCTCACTGTCCAGTATTCATGAATAAGTTTGACCAGTATGTTTTGGGCACAGAACTATGCTAAGCTTCCAGAGAGGGCTGAAAATTCTGAGGTGAGCAGGGGTAAGATCCTTATGTAAATGAACAAAATAATTTCACATCTGGTAAGACATCTGGAAGACCTGTCTTTAACAGGAAGGAAGCAGGGGAATTATGGCTGAGCTGATGGGGTTGGGTGGGGGGTACAGAGCTTTCTTTCCCTTGCCCTCCCTCCTGGCTTTCTCACTCCCTTCTTCCTCCCCCTCACTGTCCCACTTCTTTTGACTCCTGTCTGGTGTGAGCCAACTCTACACTAAGCCTGATGCCAGGATCTGGGGACACAGCTATGGACAAACCAGTTGTGTCCAATGTCCTACCTAAGGTCCTTGTCCAGAGTGGGGGTCCGGGAGGACATATTCACAGATGGCCTAGAGGCAGTGTGTGGGGGAGGGGTACCTCACATAGGGCACATTTGGGAAGGTGGTCCATGCTGGGGAGCAGGTGGATTCAGCCAGGTGGAGAGAGTCCAGGTAGAGGAACAGGTAGGTGATACCCAGAGAGCAAAGAACTAAAGCCTCCATGCTACAGTCCCTGCCTCAGTTTCCCCCCACACCCCAAGAGGACAAATTAGGGCCGCTTCTCTGGCCACAGGACCAGGAGTGGCCCTTGTACCCAGAAGCGATGTCCTTTGATTTGTTAGGATGTTTTCATTGACCCATAACAGGCATATACTTAAAAAGTGGTTTCCAGTGTTAGAGTACTTTACACAAAGCTCTGTATTGCACACACTAGGTAATGTATGTGGTTCAAAGTAGCCTGGGGTAGTTTGCAGAGAAGTTCCCTTTCCCTCAGACATGCAGTTTCTTCTCCAGAGGCCACAGGGCAGCAAGGTTCCAGCGTGTCCAGAGAGTCTGTGCACACCCATGGGGTCTCTCTGCATTAAAAAAAAAAAAGACTTATTTATTCATACAAGAACTGGGTACAGGCCAGAGGTGTGAGGGGGGAGAAGATTCTTCAGAGACAGAGTGGGGAGCAGAACAGGCCGACTGATGAAGCACACTGCTGAGGGGAGTAGCAGGCTGGCTGAGAGAGGTCTGCTGCGCCATGTGGGTCAGCTCCCTGCCTGGGGATTGAATAGGTTCTGCACCGCTGTGATGGCTTCACAGGGCTGTGCTTGAGCCCTTTGCACCACCGGGGAGGGCCCTCTCTGCACGTTTATGAAAGCAACACACTCGTTCCGTGCCTCTCGGTTTTCATGTAATGATGTGTCTTGGAGACAGTTCTGTGCCTACACAGGAGCTGCGAACTGCTGGTTTTCTGGCTCACCGTCTCCCATCACCAGCTGTAACCAAGTCTCTGGGTGTGGACATTTTGGTTGTTTCTATTTTTTTGACTTCTGAGCAATGCTGCAGGGAATGGCCTTGTGTAATTTGTATGCGTTCGAGTGTGTCTGCTGGGTAAACACTTCCAGGATCACCAGCGCTGGTGACTTGGGTGGGCTCTGCCACATTCCCAGCAGAGAGGCGATACCAGTTTTCCTTCCAACCAGCGTATCAGAACGTGGAAATGGTGCTTTAAAAAGGTGTCCTTGAAGGTTCTAGATGTGAATGCCCTTCGCCTTCCTTCCTCGGTCTGGCCTGAGTAGGGCTGGCGCTGGGTGAACACCTGCCAGGGACCAAGCCTGTGTAGATGGTGCATTTTCCGATTCACCTGGGAGTGATGCTGGACGACAGGTTCCTGCTGGCCCAGACTTGCCGAGTCAATGCCAGGGGTGGAGCTTGGAATCTGCATTTTTTTTTTAAAGATTTATTTATTTGTGCATACAGAACTGGGGTACAGGCCAGAGG